TGGACAATGACAGAGTCATTTAATTTTTTAAGACAACTCACTCATTTCCAAGTTGATATCTAACATCTTACGTTGTAGGTCTGAAGAGTTGCAAAGGATATATTTTCTGGTGTGTTAAATATTTTGGTATTCTTAAACTGTTCCATGACTCTTTTAATTGTAAAAAAAATGGGATATAAAAAGTTATTATTTGGGGGCTGGGGATGTGGCTCAAGCGGTAGCGCGCTCGCCTGGCATGCATGCGGCCCGGGTTCGATCCTCAGCACCACATACCAACAAACATGTTGTGTCCGCTGAAAACTAAAAAATAAATATTAAAAAAAAATTCTCTCTCTCTCCTCTCTCTCTCTCTCTCTCCCCCTCTCTCACTCTCTCTTTACAAAAAAAAAAAGTTATTAATACATGTCCTTGTCAAAGTGAGGCCTCCCAAGGGCTTTGACTAGAGTTAGTCATACAAGAGTTCATTTTACTTTTGTTTGATGTGGAATAACCCATTACCTCCTTTTATACCCTACTGTATTAAATAATCAATAATTAACTGTGCAAGTAAATTTGAGGGTACCAATTGATTACCTCCTAAATGTTTTATGGCTGGGGCTGGAACTATGGAACAGAATTCACAAGAATACTAAGTGTTATGGTTTAGATTTGAAGTTTCCCTAAAAGTGCATATATGAAACAATGCAAGAATTTTCAGAAGTGAAATGATTACATTATGAGAGGTATAACTTAATCTGTGGATTAATCCACTGATATGGGTTAACTAGGTGGCAACTACAGGCAGGTAGTATGTGGCCGGAGGAAATAGGCCTCTGGGGGTGTGCCTTTGGGGTTTACATCTCGTCCTGGTGAATGTTGTCCTCGGTGAGTGTTGTTCTTGGTGAGTATTCTCCTTGGTGAGTGGAGCTCTCTGTTTTCTAGTTGTCATGTCCTGCACTGCTTTCCCCCACCATGCCCTTCTGCCAAGGTGCTCTGCATCCCCTTGGGCCCAGAGCTGTGGAGTCAGCCAGCCATGGACTGAACCTCTGAAACCATGGGCCAAAATGAACCTTTCCTCCTCTCAGTTGTTCTTGTCAGATATTGGGTCACAGTGACAAAAAGCTTACTGAAACAGAGTATATTATGCAGAGATTGCAAAAGAAATCACTAACCAGACACATAAAGCTCTAACTGCCTTTGAGATTTGAAGTCTACAGGTAAATTCTAAAATGAGTTGAATGTGTGAGGCAATATTTGAAGAGAAATCAAGGTAGAGTTTATTATTGGTCTTTCCTGGTAAAAGGACAGTGTATTAGTCAGTGTTCTCTAGAGGAATAGAACCAACAGAATGTGTACATAACTGGAAGAGGGAATTTATTGGATCGACTTACGAAACAGGGGCTGAATAATCCCACAATGGCTGTCTGCAGGCTGGAGAGTGGGGAAACCAGTAGCTGGTCAATCCAAGAAGCTGGAAATCTCAGAGCGAGAGGAATCCATGGTGCAGCCCCACACTGAGGTTAAAACCTGGAAACTTCCTGGAGAGTTTCTAGTGGGAGTTGACATTCAAAGGTTGAAAAAATCTAGAGTCTGATGTCCTCAAGGGATGGAAGCATCAAAGAAAAAATAAAAGATCTGTCAAAAGAGAAGCAAACATGCACAGACAAGAGAGCACTGCTCTTTTTCACCCAGGCCCGCAATCTACCTCCCACCATCATTTCTAACCCCCTTCCACCCCCCTTAGAAATGATGGTGAGATGTGATAGACAGCATTATCCAAAGTACAGGTATGAAGATACAAATTGGTGTGAATATACTTTATGTTTGAGTTGAGATATGAAGGGAGTTAGGAACCCAACCAGGGTCCAATAGGTTAGGGGCCTCCAGAGATGATTTCCCTGGACATGCTATCTAAAATAGCACCACTCGGCATCAACAGGTTTATCCTGCTTTATTTTAGAAGGTCTTCTCTCTACCTGACATTTTATTATCTGTTTGCTCATTGGTTGTCTGTCATCCCCATCAGGAAGTCAACTCCAGAAGGGCAGAGACGCTTGTGGTTTTGCTTTGTTATATTTTTACCGTTGAACCCCAGCAGCTGCATCAATGTCTGACACAAAAATATTTTTGAACAGGTGGATGAACGAATAGTATCATTTTTACCATTGGTTTCCCCAGTTTCCTCTGCAGAACAGTGAAGGACTTGAACTTCCTCGACTCCAACATCATTTTCAACTTTAAAATGTTGCTCTTATCATCATAAGCCTCATGATGACCTACACAGTGTAGCTTACTTACACAGTTTAGCTTCTCTGTCCTCTTAGCAAATGCAAAAAAAAAAAAAAAATCCCATTGTACAGATAGAAGTAGAATCGAAGATAAATAATCTGATGCTCAGTGGTCAAAAGAAAAACTGGAAACTCCACATGAAAAGAAAGAGAAAGAGAACTGAAACTGAAACATGCCCAGAGGAAAGTGGTAGTAGATCAACATTCTAATCAGTAAAGAAAAAGGAAACACAGTTGTCCCTTGGTATCCTCAGGGGATCAGTGCCAGATCCCCACAAAATCCATGCCCAGATATGAAATGGCATAGTATTTTTATATAACTTGCACACAAATTACTATATATTTTGAGTCATCTCTCATTACTTAAAACACCCAGTACAATATGAATGCTAGGTAAATAGTTGTCTTACTTTGAGGGGATAATGACAAGAAAAAAATGTCAGTACATGTTCAACACAGGCACCGTTATTTTTCCAAAAATTTTTGATCCATGGTTGGTTGGTGGCCCAGATGCAAAACCCACAGGTACAGAGGGCCAACTGTACTTCTCTTGCAGTCAGCCTGTAGGGAGTGCATCAAGTGAGACAGAGATGAGTTGCCGAGCTCCATTCTAGATGTTCCAAGCACAGAGACTACAGAGATGGTCAGACTGCTAGATGCTCTGCAGGCCCAGGCAGAGAACCGCCCACCAAATGAACAAAGGTGGGAATTTACCGGCAGAGGCTCAGTACTGTGGGTCAAGGTCGACAGGTTCTAGCTTAGTCTCTGATCTACACTGTCTAATAAGGTAGTCACTAGACATGGGTAGCTATGCAATTAAATTAGTTAAAATTATAGGGCAGAGGGGTGGGAGGGAAAGGGAGAGGGCAGGGGGTTAGAAATGATGGTGGGATGTGATGGACATTATTATCCAAAGTAGAAAGACACATATTGGTGTGAATATACTTTATATACAACCAGAGATATGAAAAATCATGCTGTATATGTGTAATATGAATTGTTATTCATTTTGCTGTCATTTATTTTAAAAAATCAATAAAAAATGAAATTAAAACACCCATTGGGCAATACAGATTATATAACACTGGGCATAATTTTTTTGGGGCAGGTCTGACTAGATACAGCCAACCTCCCAGCTTCCCAGTGTCCAGCCTATATCCCAGATGCTTTTAGCTGGGATTCTTCCACTTTTTTTTTTCCTTGATGTAATGGTTCGTAGTTTGTAAGCACAAGATATTTAAAAAACAAACAACAACAACAAAAACAAAAACAGAGTCCTCAATAGCAGCCCAGGACTCGCTATATCTTTCAACTGTTCTTGAGATGGCTGCTCAACACTCACATTCCATCTCAGAGTCACTTCTTTGGATTGGCCAGGGAGTCCAGGGGACACTTGTGCCCTGGTGGCGCTGGCCTGCTCTGTGTCAGCTCTTCCCACTGCTCATGGGCGCCCATACACATTTCTTCACCACGTCCTGCTGAGCAATACAAATCACTTTCTGTCTTTAGGGGGTGGGGGGAAATCTGGCTTTCTGGAGCTGCTCCAGTTCACTTTCTTGCTTGGAATTCACTTCTTCTTTTGATGTTTATCAATACATCACTACTCGGTGCTTGTGCCAAGATCACGTCTGAGTCGGGGTGATATATCCTCTCCCCGTCACTTCTTCCAAGGAACTTCCCACCCCTTTTAGGGGTCTGAAGGACGCGTGAGCTGCATAAGGTGGCAAGAAGCCAGGAAACAGGGGACTCTGCTCCCCTCTGGACATCTTACTCACAGCACAGGGCGGCCTTTGAGAAGCCGTGTGTGTCGGGGAACGATTCCAAGAAGGTGTGTGACTTTGGCATTATGACAGCCGCGAGCAAAATAAGTTAGGAAAGCCTGGAATGGATGGTGATGGCCAACTCTAGACAAGGCGATGAAGTTGAGAAGTTTGTCTTTGGCCACCCTCCAAACTCCCCTGAGAATCTTTCTTCCCCATTTGTCCCCTTGGTGGCTTCTCACCCCTCAGAGAAGTTCCTTTTGGTTTCTTTTTCTCCCATGGAAACTCAGTTTCATTACCCTTAAGCTCTGCTAGTGAAGACCGGCCAGTTAATGAGAAAAGCTAATTTACTGAAAAAGCAGGAGTCCTTCAACACAGTCCAAAGATGGACTTCAGAGGCATGAGACCTCAAGGTGTGATCACTGTGCACACCCGTCTTCTAGGAGAAAGGTTCTTTTAAAAATCTTTTATTTTTAATTGTCGATGGACACAATACTTTTGTTTTATTTATTTATTTTTAGGAGGTGCCAAGGATCAAACCCAGTGCCTCACCCACAGACTAGGCAAGGGCTCTACCACTCAGCTACAAACCCAGCCCAGGAGAAAGATCCTTGATTCCATCAGATTCTAAAATATGTCCATGACCCCACAAAAGGTTAAAGCCACTGCTGGAAAATATTAAGAGTTAATACCAGCAGGGGGGTTCCTTGTTAGAGAAGGTTTTCATTTTAACCATAGCGTGATGGAGAATCTGCCACTTTTGCCTCAGGAAATAATGATGAGTTTTTCCATCCCTAGGCAAGAGAAGCAGGAAAGACTGTGGAGCAAAAAACAGGACCTAGCATTGCCTTTGAGGTCACATCCCACCCCCTCCACTCAGGAGCAAGTGGGTTTCTTTGAACACAAAATCTTTCATTGACATATAATGGAGACTTTCATTAGAAATTTCTAAAAAACTAATAATAATAATAATAACACTTAGGATACCACTCATTTTCTTTATTACCAATAACTTCTTTGATGAAGCAGCAATAGGTTATGGGAGAGGAATCAGGGTTTTAGCCTCAGCTCTATCACTAACTTGCTGAGCAAACTTTTGAGATATGGCTTGGCTTCTCTGGGCCTCAGTTTCTTCATCTGAAAAACAAAAAAAATTAGTCAGTCTTCTCTGGTCCTGTGATCGTAAGTAAGCTGACAGAAGTCTACTTGAAATAAAATTTCCGTACTGCCTTTATTGGGATTAAGAGCTTGTTTTCATATTTGGGAAGGAAAAATATTCAACCAAACACTAAGTTGTTTTCTTCCTTTTTAATATGTTAGCATCTTGTCTGAAGTAGCAAAACCTGCTCTTGAAAGCTTCAAAACAGTTTGTGGTGGATTGCAATTCTTGTCTCAGAAAGATTAATTGGAAGCGAAATCTAAGGAAGAAAATTCAAAGCCCATTTCTACGCTTCCTGCCTTTTAGATCTTCTAACATGTAAATCGACCGTTACAAAGAGGATTAGTTATTAGAATGGTCTGCGTGGAGACCAACATTCAGCTCCCAGTTTATTCCTTGCCAGAGAGTCCCTGCTGCCCAGCATGTTAATGTCCTTCTTTTCAACTTGCAGGAAGACAACCGCATACCAACTCCAAGGCCTGTGTTTCCCAACTTTAATTTAACCACAGCCTTGACATCCACACTAGGGAACTACAATGACTTGTCAAGATTTAAGAAAGTTGCTTCTCACCTCTGGACTGTTTGTCCTTTCCCATATTCATTTCACCCTAGTCCTCATCTGCTTCGTTTCTTTTATTCTTATTATGTACTAGATGGTGTTTTGTTTTGTTTCCTTGCAAAATTTCCTTCCAGATGGCATTTGCCTGATGGCTTCATTCTCCCCTACCATATCTGATCTCCTCCATTTCCTTTTTACTTCTTCTGATTCAAAGACACCTCCTTAACCAGCAATCACAGCCATCTACTGCTGAGAACCAACAGACATAGAAGACCTAGGACTGACTAGCCAACATGGCTTTATCACAAAACTTGTGATATGATTCGCCTTCATTCAAACTAATTTGCTTTTATATTACATATAATTCCATCTAGGAAAAAATGCCACTGTCCAATGTTTAAGTGGGTAGAGAAGGGGAAGGGGCAGGCAAATTCAGGAGAAGGGAAGAATCTAAGGTCTAGACTCCCATGCAAGAAAAATGCCAGCAGTCAGATAGTAAGATAGGAAATTGAAGGCAGAGGGGGAAAAAAAGATAATCAAGGAATCAAAGACGACTAGGGTATTAATGGTGAGAACCATGTTCCCTAGCAATATCCAGCATATCTAGATGGAAGTAGAATAGATCCTCGAATTAGCCTAAGACAAAGGTAATAATGTTGATTGGTTGGAGCTATCTCACCTAAGCTTTCACAAATCACTCTTCTTTTTTAAATTTAGTGATAGCTGAGACATGCCTGCTTAGGAGAAGGGCCACGATTGCCAGCCTCCCTTGCAGTTGGGCATGGCCAATGATGTGAATGGAGTCGGCATGGACAGCACCTAGGCCATGCCCTTCTTTAAGGGAAGGATCATGTTCTCCACTTGCCTCATCTGCTGGCAGGATTACAGAAGTGGTGGCTCGAACAAGGACAACCAGTCACATCAAGGATGACAGAGATGTCCATGACTGAGTGTCTCTGGCACTGACACAGTGGAGCCCCCATGTCACCTTAGACTGTTTATGCTTGGTCTGTTTCCAGACAAGAATATTAACTTGTTTTGTTTAAGTTACTGATATTTGGGGTTTTAGCAACAAAACCCATACCCTAGTTAATCAACTAATGAAATTTTATTGCTTTAGAGTAAAGATATGATTTGGGGGATCCCAAAGATTATGCAACAAATTCCACGTTTCCTCTCTCTTTTGGCAGTGGCTCCTTGGTGGAATTAAAAAAAAAAAGTGGGATTGGAATCAAATCTTGGCTCTACTAGTCACTAATTTTTCTTCACCTATAAAATATAGGAGAGTTGATATTCAGTAATGCTTCTGCACCATGGTTGCTTATATGAGCTGTTCTATCTAATACCCACAACAATGCGATGCAGTCGGTATTATTATTATTACTCCATTTTATAGATAGAGATAAGAATTTTTTTCCCAGTGAGAGGTAAAGCTTAGATTTGGACCAAGAGAGTTTGACCTGAGAGTCCACATTTCTTAGCCATTTTCCTTTGTACCTAACTTTCTGCACGGATGGGAGATCATGGTTAAATACAACACCCCTCAACATAGTCATCCCATTACAAGCTGGGGGGATGACTGAATGATGCTGGCTATGTTACTGATCTCTGAGCTAAGGCATTGCACTGCCTGTTGATCATCTTTTTTCCATTGAAATATTCTTACTTAGGCAGAGGAAGAAGGGAGTCAAAAGTCTGCTTAGTTAATCAGGGAAGTTTTCTTCCTGTTATAAGTTGATTTTCTTAGTCAAACCCCCACAATACTAGGTCTCTCCAAGGCCACAATTCATACTGATAATTCTGAGCCTCTAGGAAAAGTTTACATTCTCTATAGAATGCTTCAAAAAGCAGGAAAGCTGTCTCGATGGTAAACCCACATCCTGAGAGGGCCTCCCCTACAGAAGAGGAGTGAGAATGACAAACTCCAGTGCTCTGTCCTTCCCCGCCTCTTGTGGGAGGGAGAAAGAAGAAATAATTACTGCTTGAAACGTGAGGACTGTCACTTCTCACAAACAGGAAAAATAGAAGAAATGCATGTGTGTGGAGGAGATCAAGGAAAAGGAAGAAGGAACGTAAGTAATCTGTAACAGTTTTCTCCTAAAATGGATAAAGGGGGAAATTGGGATGCTCATATGTGAGGCCTTGAGTTCAATCCTTGGTACTGAAAAATAAAAATAAAAACAAAAGGTAGTTTCTGTTTTTCTAGGAAGTTGCTCCATAAATGATTGTCACACTCCCAACCCTCACTGTTTCATGGAGTGAATGGGCTAAAGGCAAGTGAGATAGTGGAGATTCCCCTTGAACAGTCCCCAAAGCACCAGGACTGTGACCCTTCTCTCTCTGCCTACACAGGTACAATCTCCCATAGTGCTAGAAAATGCACCACCCCATTTCACAGATGAGGAACTTAAATCTTGAAATAATGACTTGTCCAAGAACATATCACTAATGAGTGGGGGACTTGGGCTTTTAAACTCAATATTCTCAGTTACCAAACTAAGATTCATTTGATATGAAGTGACAATATTCTCCTCAGATTATGTCTTCTATTAGTAATTTATTATTCAAGTATTTTTCTTTCTTTTATTTTTTTATTCGGCATTTGTTCAGCACCCATTGTGTCCAATGGCTAAGATATAAAGGCATGGTTTCTCCTGTCGTTAGATTCATAGACTGATGGAGAAGGCAGAGATGAACAACCTATGGGTAATAAAGGGTTGAAGTGTTAGAAGTACTGTGATGAGAGTGCTTGCTGAGTACAGGAGTAACCAAAGAAATGGACAATTATTGATATTCACTTGCTGTGTGTCAGAGAGATTTGCCAATGGTAGTAGAGAATGGAGACAAAAGAAATGGTAATTGTTATTATTTGGATCTGGAATATTCCCCAAAGACTCATGTGCTGGACATTGGGTCCCCAAGGCAGCAAAGTTCAGACATGGGGCTTTAAAGAAATGACTGGATCACGAGGGTTCTAACAATATTAGTGGATTGATCTATTTGATGGACTTATTGGGAGCTGGTGGAAAGTGTCAGAGGTGGGGACTATTTGAGGGAATTAAGTCCTTGGAGCCAAAGAGCTTTCCTCGGCCATGCCCTTCCACCATGATGCACCTGCCTTACAGCCAACTCACCATGGACTGAGATCTCTGAAACCACGAGAAACCAAAATAAATCTTTCCTCCTTTAAGTTGTTTTATGTCAGGTATTTCAGTCACAGCAACAAGACTCTAATATAACAATCCAGATTCCAAGTTCAATTTCAGATATGCAAAAGATGCTTTCTAATTTAAGAGTGTCTCATGAAATGTTTGAGAGACACTAAAATGTTAGTCATAGTTTACCTGAAATTAAAATTTAACTGGGAGTGCTGTATTTTATCTGGAAATTCTAGGTGAGGGAGGACAACGAAGGAGTACTAGAATATGTTTCATAGAGAAAGGAAGTCAGGGAGATAGGTAGTTTTTCTCCACATTTGGGGCATTAGGTGCAGGGGGAGCAAAAGTGGGAAGTACTGAATCTTTAACTTTCCTTGAATCATGACCATGGAGAACTATAAACTTTCCAAAGACCAATAGGATTGGTTTTATAGGGATATGTTAGGTCACCCCAAAATCATTTCTGTTTTCTTTTTTAATAAATAAGTGGGAAATACATTAGTACATGTGTTTTGTCACTTTGCAAATACAAGCTCTCCCATTGAGTTGGGTTAAGATAGAAGTGTGTGGGTGCAAAGCTCATGGTTGCCAACCACTCAAGATATAGCCTACTTCTGTACACTTCTAAGGGGAGTGCTGTGCTTTTAAGAAGCATTTCCTGCCCCTTCAAAGCAGAGATCAGAATGTAAAGAAAAGGTAGTGTCCTGTCCTGGAGATGCCAACCGGTACACACTCCATGGCTGGCCAAGTGACGAGCTGAACTATCTCCCCTCCATCAGTGTCAGCTTCCCATTCATGGCATCGCCAGGCCTTCCTGACCAATCTCTAAGGCTCCCTCCAGCCCTCACATTATCCACTGTTAAATAGATAATTAAATAAGGAGACAAGCCAAGTCAGCCATCTGATTAACCAGAGAGGAGATAGCTTGGTTCTCCAGCCTTCCTGACAATTCTCCAAATTCCCGATATTCGTTCAGAAAATTTGCTTTATCTCTTTTAGCTAGGTTTGACTTCTGCTACTCTCCACCAAGCATCAAACATCAAACACCAAACACCAAGCATCAAACAATTCCAGGCCACTGGGCAGTGATGGTTGGAGGGGAGGTTCTAAGGTCTGTTCCAATTGTGGAACTTGGGGTTAGACAAGCTAAACCAGACTGTAGGACTTTTCAGACCCTTTTACATGGTCATGTTTTTGTGACTTTCTAAGTGAGAATAGAGTATTTGGAGTTTTCCAAACCATTCTTTTTGTTGTTGTTTTA